GCAGGCCGCTGAAGCAGCCAGCTTATCTCAGCCCCACATGCAAATCTGGGGGGGAACATGCTCCCCATGTCTCACCCAGGGGTGCATGCAGCAGCAGGGAGCTGCACACCACCCCGCACCTCTAGACAAGCCACCCGCAGCTCTGTCTCAAGACCCGCCCCGGCCCCAGGGCCCCATTCACCCCAGCCCCTACCCCACTCCCTCCCTCACCATGGGGACCTCAGATTGCACCCCCGCCCCCAAGTCCCTTCCTTCTCCCCTCCGCCCCTTCCTCTCCACAGACTTACCTGCTGGGCACTGTCTGTGAGTCTAATTTTTTTAATCACGCAACTAATCACCATCAAATTTTTTAATCATTTGACAGCCCTAGTAATTAGTCATGGCAGAACATCTGACGAAGCTACGGCAGTACAGGTGCAAATACAATGTCAACTGGAACAGTTCCTACCCAGTAAAAGAAAGCAGACTTTCAGATGAACATATATTTTGCCTTGCTTGCTCAGAGGACATTAGCATCAGGAATTCTGGAGTAAATGACCTCAAAAAGCACCTTGAAACTAGAAAGCATGTAAATCGGGCTGAGGCCTCAACACCACAACAGTCAATAAAGGGTATTTTTAGTCCAGCTAAGCAGACATTTGGGCAGAAGTTAATATAGTTTTTGTATAAAGCTCTGACCTATTAGAAGTTAAATAAGTGACTAATGGGATTTATAAACAAGCAGTCAATATATATTGGTTTATACTTAAGAATAGCATCTTGTGTTTTACATTCCAACTTTTGATTTTTAAGAGTTTCTCTTGATTTTTGACCCAGTGGGGTTAGCAATACTGTACTTTTCCATAGCAAGGCCAAGGCGCTACTCATGTGCTCATGTGCTTGGAGCCAGCATTTGCATTGAAGATACCAGCTTACCACTGTTGTCCACCCACAAACCAGAGCACCAGCTCCAGCTGGGACACAGTCCTGCAACCCAAGCTGAAGCCTGGGGCCCACTCCCAACTGAGCATGAACGTCCTATTTCAGGAAATTAGCTTCTGGAACATATGTCCATCTGGACTCCAGGCAAAGCCCTCTGATTCTCACACTGAAAACTAGACACGTGGCGATTGTATAAGAACAGCATAATTGCCTGGGCTGGAATTGGGTGAGGGCATTAGGGCTGAGGTTCCTATTCTTCTGAAAATGGCAAGAGTATCTTTAATTGGGAGTTCTGCTTTACATTTCATCTGAAAAATAGCTGTGCCAACAGCACTGAGATTCTTAATGTCCAGCTGGGAGTCTGATTTGGTATGCAGCTCAGGAGCAGCAATCCACCCTCTGAACTGTGAATCTGTAGCAGTTGTGTTGTGATTAGAGTTTATTTGTCAAATTTTGATCTGCCCAAACCAACATCCAACAGGATTAAAGTCTACATGTCTGCAAGAGAAAGTGATTAACCTAAAAGAGTTTAATTTTTTGAAACGCTTATGGCAATACAGAAATCTAAATGCTAATTTCTTAAATATGAGAGCTTCTTAAAACTCCATTCAGTCTGATTTAATAAGAGACGTATTTTTCTTGACACCGCATGCTTTCCCAATCCTGTTTCCTGCATAC